GCCTGCTCTCAGATGTTAAGCTATAGGAACAGAGGACATAAGGGGCTATCTGCATCTGTCTCCCACTTTGAGATATTGAAAAACCATGACGGAAACTCATTACAAAGATAGAAAGACAATTAGAAGGTATGTCTGGCAAAGAGTGGGCCTGGATCCCAACTCCAAGTTTTAGAGTAAACAACACCAATCTTACTACCCAGAACCACTAAGAGTTGTTCAAGGGCCAGTAATCTTGAGAAGATAGAGGAGCTCAGCCTCAACGCTCCATCTTGGGTGGAGGATGATGGGGCACAAAGAGCTTTTATAGGAAAGGAGGATCAGAGCAGGGAGGCTACCCAGTGCAATTTGCAAACTTTGTGTTAGTTAATGCATAGACCTCCACACTATGGAGGGCATTTACAAAGCTCATCACATACACTGGATCCTATAAAAAAAAAAAAAAAAGATTTAGCAGCTAACATTTTTAACCACTGGGCCAAGGATTCTCTTCAGAATTTAGAATGCTGCTGGGTACGAGTGGCTCATGCCTGTAATCCTAGCTTCTCTGAAGGCTGGGATCTGAAGAACTTGGTTGGAAGCCAGCCTGGGCAAAGAGGTGCATGAGACTCTTTCTTCCAGTCAACCAGCAAAAAGCCAAAAATGGAAGTGTGACTCAAGTGATAGAGCTCTAGCCTTGAACAAACTGAGCAAGAGCACAAGGCCCTTCCTAAGTTCAAGCCTCTGTCCTGACATTAAAAAAAAAAAATTAGAATGCTGAGAAGAGATCATACAGGGAGGAAGAGAGACTAAGGGAAGTTACTCTTTCCAAGATAATATTCAATACTATCTTTTTACTTAGCTAGGTTAGAGGCACTTTATGGCTATTTACACAAATAATGACAAAAATTCCTGTAGAATGCAAGCTTCATTATTCTCTTTTCCTATAAAGCTTCATTTCCCAAGTTGTAGAGATCAGATCCATAAACCCATGAGATCTCCATATATATGGACGCTTTAACTACCACTATTATCCATAGTGGATATGTAAAACGAAAGAGGCTTCACACACCAACAATGAAAGATATTTGTTAAAATATAATATATAAAGCAAGATAGTATTGTTTGAGTATTTGAATACATATACACACCAGAAAAATTCGTGAGAAATATATTACTTTGGTTATCGTTTTGGAGAAAGAGGCAAGGAAGACTAGGGGTGAGTAGAAGACATTTTCACTGTGGATTTCACCCATTTGGACGAACTAGGAAATTAGCATTTGATCCCTACATCCACATCTCCCAGCAAAGTGCCTGGTTCCACACCCTGCTCCACCCCCATGGACATGGGCTCATACACATGTAATCACCCAGAAGCCATTTGTAGCAGGTCTTTTCTCATTTTCACTGGCAACAGATTTTCCCCTCATCTTAGGTAAGTGAACCTCCACTTAGCACCCACAAGACCAGCACAAATGCCACCTGTCTCCCTATGTGCCAGGACCCAAGGTGGCTTCCACAGCCCTGCCTCAGTTTCCTAACACAAGTCAGAAGAAAGGAGTATAAGGTACCAACTTGCCTTCAGCAAGGTCACACAGCCTCAAGGGTAGATGGAAAAGGAAGCAGGGAATTTCCAGGTAACATAAGACATGTAAGGACAACATACATACACCTATATAATTACCATGTTGTACTTTTCCTTCCTTCTTATAACTCTCCAAAGAGAGAGCCTTGGGCACAGTCACTGGATCTATTATTATTTTTGGTCCCCCCCCCCAGGCCCAGCCTGGCACTCAAACATAAATGTATCCTGGATAAAAGAGTGCAATGTGGTTTGGTGGGTTTTTATTTTTTTCAAGAAATGAATTTGCTAATGTCTTAATGTTTGGGAATGGTGAATGGGAATAGTGAACTCTTAACCTCGGCCTATGCACTGTATTACAGTCCTCTAATTCCAACCCTGATACAAACATCTTTACCCTCAGAAGTCCACTGAGACTTTAGTCCTCACTAGCGCAGTCTTGACTTTGACCCCATAAAAGGGGAAACGTTGGAAAGCTAAGCCTGTCTCTTTCTTTTCTTGAAAGTCAATATACACTTAATTGTTTTTACTGGTAAAACGGAAACTTGTGCCTTATAACTTTGAACTTCTACTCAGGATTAATGCATTGATATTTCTTGCAATGTTCAGGAAGATACTAATTCTCAGTTTGAGACACAAGTTTGACAATATTTACTGAAGAACTTCTTACATTTCAAACCCTGAACTTATAGATATTTTTTTAAAAAAGTAGTACTCTCAGTGTTCTGCTCATTCACTCTTGTTCTGTCCTGAGCTCTATCCAAAAACAAATGATAGAAAATAGTTGCAATGCCCAGAACAATGGTTCAAGCCTGTAATCCAAGCTTCTTCAGAGGCAGAGAGCAGAGAATCACAGCTCAAAACCAGCTCTGGCAAAAAGTTTTTAAGATTCCATCTCAATCAATAACAGGATGCAGTAGCACATGATACAAGGAATTACAATTAGGAGAATCATAGCCAGGTATTAAATGAAACCCTATTTCAAAAGTAACCATGGTTAGAAAGGGAAAAAAAAAAGGTTCTGGAGGCTTGGTTCAAGTGCTACTACACCTGCCCAGTAAGCATGAGACCCTGAGTTCAATCCCCAGAACCAGTTAAAAAAATGAGGGTGGGGGAGGTATTGCATATAACATGAATCACTGGTTGCAATTAATCAACCCAGAGCCCAAGGGAGGAATTTTTTCTATTTTTAAATGCACTGTTACTTTAAAGGAAAGCTCCCTGAAGAAATATAAGACTAAGCTGCATAACGGAAATCAAAATGCATTTGATGTCTTCATTCTTGCAAAGAGTCATCTTAATCTACAGGTACAAGTAGCACTGTTGAGTTGGGTTGGCTCTCTTAAATTAAGTTTGTCTAGAAATGGACTGACCAAGACACAAGCAGAATTCCATTGAAAGGGCCAATTCCCAAAGAATTGCAATTGTCATGACAGAAGAAAATATCCTCATGCCATTGCTATTCTTTTAGATTCAGAAAAGGGTCTACTGCAATAAGAAGCCAATGGATAATAAATGCTAGAATCACCCTTCAAATCTACTTAAATGATTCTGAGTAGAAACTAATGTGGTGGCACTAAAAACTACTCCACTGGTTATTTGACATGTGTAATCAGTTATAAATACTATGCAAACTCTCCAAAATTAAACCTGTTTCTCTACACAAATGCCAAGACATCATTTCATTCAATAATAACTAACAGTACCATCCTTATGTACCCAAGATGGATTGGGAACATAGCTCAGTTGTAGAGTGCTTGCCTAAGTAACATGCCCAAGGCCCTGGGTTCGATCCCCAGCAACACACACATACATATGGAAACAGTACATAAACATACATGCGCATGTGCACACACACGAAACAAAAAGAATGTTTTAGACTATCAAGCAGCAAGGGAAACAGAAGCAGTACATACCAAGTTAAAACCATTCTACATGCTTCCCAGACTGCCTTGAACAATCTAACCCAATAAATTTTCTTCTGAAACAATGTAACAATATTCGGTTTTGAAAGAAAAAAAAAGCTGGGGTGGTATAGGTAGGGACCTTGTTTAATCTGTAAAGACTGTAGTATACATAATGAGTTTAGTTCCTAGCACCATGAAATGCATTATCTGCACTGCTAAATATAACGGAAAATACAGTAAAAGAACATTGCAAATGCATCTAAAAATACTGTCCAAACATACACTAATTAACTATAAAATATTTAACACATTTTAAAAATAACAGCCATTTATGTCACCCCAAGAATCTGCAGAATGTTTGCAAACTATGTAAAAATTGCTAGGCTCAACACAAAAAGCAAAGAATCACCAATCTAAGCACTTATATTTTTCCCCCAAATTTAGCAAAACAGTGCCTAAACACATGATCACAAAAGGAAGCCCGCTGCCTCTTTTAAGCAACAAAGTAACAAATCTAATTTCGGAGTAAGTCTTCAGTGAAAAATCTCTAAAGTGCAGAATTCATTACTTTGTAGCTCACCAACCAACAGGTGACTTTTAGACACAAACTCCCACTTATTTCCAAGAGGAATTAACCTTGGAGACGTTCAGGTTTTTTTTTTTCTATTGTCACAAGTTACTACATTGCCATATCGAATGAATTCCAACCGATTTCTTCTCAGAGGCTTACCAGAAAAAAAAAGCCAAATATTCAAATTATTTCAGAGGCCTTCTCCCATACAGTTGTATGAAACAGAGCAGAATTAATAAGGATCCCACAGTTACCACTTTTCAAATGCAAATATGTTGCCATCTAGTAAATGCATCATCCCCCTTTTAAAACATCCCCCAAGTGTCTATACAGTGGGGGGGGTAGCATTCACACATAACATTCACGCATTATCTCAACTCCACACCATTATCATCAACAACACACAACAAAACAAAAAGAATTTAAATGGTCCAGCCTGGGCCTGCATTTACAAGGCTGCTGTGCTTGACACCCACCTACTCCTCCATCTTACACAAAACGTCCCTCAACAATTCACTCAGAGGAAGCAAAATGGGAAAGAAATAGGGGTGCTGGGTTCCACGAATAAGGCCTTGAGTTGGTCATTTGCCGGCCTGAGCCTTTCTACAGGGTTCCAACTGTCCCCCCCTCACATGCGAGATATCTGGCAGCCCCCCCGGGGGGGGGGGCGGGAGGGTGGCTGCACTGCTGATTGGTGCTGATTCTGACCAGGGTGTCCAGCCCTGCCTGACCCACAGAGCTGTAAAGGGGAGGAGACAAGAAAGTGGGGGGGGGGTGGAGGGGAGAAAGAGCAGAGGGAAAAGAGAAACTTGGACTTGGAATCACTTCCTACAGGAGCGTGGGACAAACTTGAGGCCACCCCCTCCTAACAATAGCTAGTAGCACTCCTGTTTTCCCCGGTCCCAACTTGCAGGATCTCCCGAGAAGGCTCTTCCCCTCCCCGCCCTCCGCGACCCCGCTTTACCTTTCTCCCTGCTTGGTGTTAGAAGGAGGAGGGTGCAGGACCGTCTGATTCCCTTCCATCTCCACCACACACTTGGTGTTCAGTTCCAGTTCTGAAAGCACAGAGGCGGAGGAGGGTCGTGGTGGCGAAGTCCGAGCATCCGCGCGCGCGCGGGGCTGCGTGCCCGGGGAGGGCGGCCCGAGCTCCGGAGACTCGCTGCCGGCGGCTCCCGGGGCTCCCCAAGCCTCCGCACCTCCCCAACACCACCACCACCCCCCACCCCGACCCGGCCGCGCTCCCGCCACCCTGGCAGTTTCCAAAGTTACCCCCGCCCAGTGCCCGAGCAGAAATAAAAGAGAAACGAAGAGAAAGCTCCTCACCTCGTCGGTTCATGGGCCGGACCCGGACAGCAACTTT